TCTTTAACACCCCTTTTTTCTCATTCTGAATATGAGACCGGCAACAACAGAGTTCGGCAGAAGGGTCTCATGAACAAAGAAACAGACATACGGTAGATCTGTGATACGGCCACTAACAGTCTTCGAAAGTACGTTCACATTACACAGCAAGCTACAAACCACAGAATATTTAAAAAATTGAAAACGCGTACTGAACTAGCTAGTCACTTTACAATGATCTGAAAGAGGGAACAAAATGTCACAGCTTAAATCAAATCAGTTCCCGCCAATCATCAATCCTCTGTTTGGCGGGAACCATGATATACAAAATACTGATGTCAACTGGGGACTGTGGCAATTATTATGAACAAATCACAACTATGCAAATCGAGGATGCACCAACGGTTAAATATCTTTTATCTTCTGCGAAGAATCTGGCCTTCAACTGCCGTGAATACGTCTTGGTTTAGGAGTCGCAAACAAAATACAGTGTATTCTAATTTCTGCACGATCGATCGCCTTTCGTCTGTCTGCTGCAGGCGTAAATATAAACGAGTACCATTTGGTAGAAAGCAAACTCATCCACACAACTATTAATATTGCTGTTGATAGAAAGCCATCTTGAGCAATGGTACCTTCTCAGAAAGCAACGTTGGACCGCGGTTCCAAGAAAAATGGGGCGAATAACACCCACAGTGGAAAGTACATGGGAGACTATTCCCCCTCTCCCCTCCAAAGAGTGTGTTCTTCATGTTTCTATTCCTGTAAGGTCACAGTTTAAAATGGTGGAAGATAAATCGCTAGAACAACAACAGTCGTTCATCCTCAGTTCAGACTTGTCGTACAGTAATGCAAAACATTGAGCAGCATCATTCAATCAGGGTTTTTTGGCTCTTCACTCCAAGGCTCCACAAGAAAACTGTTTTCTCTTCATTCACCAATACCATCTATCAAACATTCTCAGAATCTTTTGTTTTCTTCTCCTGTGAGTCGTCATCCTTTGTTCAGAGGGTAGTCGATATGGAGAAAATACTTCGTTATAGCTTTCTCAGCGATTCTTACCGACTGTAAGCCAATATCCTACTGTTTACAACAAATCCCTTTACAATGGATTGCATATTCAGTGAAATGTAAGAATCCTTCAAAATTCAAGTTATTGTGATCCAATGATTAAAGCGCCAAAAATGAGGCGAATAAAGTTATGTTGGTAGGAATAAACTGATTCGCTTCGATTTTGCGCCTTTAATCATTAGATCAGAAGACCTTCCAGTCTAAAGGATTTTTAAATCACACTGCTTTTGTTGTGAATATCAGAGAAACAGTTAAAAGGTCTGCCTCAAAGTAAAGCAGCCTCCGACCCTGTGTTGCCTGCTGGTATAAGGTCTTGCCTCGACGTCCGCCGTGTTTCGGTCTTCACGAAATGCCTCACCTCTAACATTTGTATATAGCATATCGCAAATAACGTTAAATTAAACATGGATGCATCAGAATAATATACTCACTACGAACCTGTTAGTGAGGAATTTCTGTACTCCAGCAAATTTGGAGTAACGTTGTCGTTTCTTCTTTCTGTCAATAAACCTTTACCTTCCTTATTTCGTCAGAACTGGATTAAACACTAATATAGCTATCATTAGAAGCATAATCTTAAGTTTCAATAATCAGTGGCTGCCGCGTAGCACAATGATAAACAGCTCGGGCTCGGCTTCCAACTCCCGGGGATGAGAAATTTTAGCCCCAGGAAAGGACTAAATTTGCCTAATTCGCTAATTACCTTCAGCTAGGAGGCTGCCACCACGTTGATTCGGTGCTG